CGAGCCGCCACTGACGTACTTTTTCAACATGAAATTACCTTTTAAATTGTAGACAACTCATTTTCCAGAAATATAAAAAAAAATATATATTAACTCCATATGCGCATTTTGACCATTTTACCTCAGCGGAAATAATGAAGATTATACTGCCCCATTTACATTTTGAACGTATTAATGCATTGTTTGCACAATTTGTGACCAAATTGGTTTCTGAGGTTTAACGAAATTAAATTGCGGTCTTGCATTTGCTGCTAACGAACAAAATGAGCCAATTTGTTGACACTTTTTTTTTAAAGATTGTAATAGCGTAATAATTGATGTAAATTGTTAAATAAACAATTATTATTTTATTTACAATTTATGTTGATGAAAATACAATATTACAACATCTGCATTAAGAATATTTTATTGCCGAACCTTTATACAGGGTGTCCCGAACAGAACTGTTAGTATAGTTCGATCCCAGAAACACGCCCATGAAGTTTTTTTGCAAAAAAAAGGTTGAAAATTTTATATTTTTCTTGACATATTCCGGAAAAATTTTAAAAACTTTTGAGAGCCACTTGTTCAGTTTCCGAAAATTTGTTTGTAGTGCTTCGAGGGAATGCAATGTTGTCACCTCCTACGTTATACACATTCCGATGTTTATAAGTTCACATTTTTAAATTTCTACAAAAAATACTTAAATTAATTTTATTCACGGTAAATGTAAGGTAAGCCTGTAAAAATACATTTCTTATTCAAATAGTCAAAATAATCTAAATGTTTTCTGTCTAAATATCAATTATTTTGGTGTTTGTTCACAAAACCAAGACTGTGCGATAGAAAAACAGTTAATAATAATTAAATTCTCAAAAAATAATCCTAAATAATTCAGATGGCACATGAATGCATTTTTGCATGCATATGAATGCATGTCAGATACATGTGTAAGTGTAGTGCTGTCAAGAATTGCAGTGAAATGAAGTATTGTTATTATTATAATTATTGTATATTAATATTATTGTTATTGTTATAAGTGTAGAGTTGCGGTTTTAGGTAAAGTGTATATAGTGTATATTAGTGTATCTTAGTATCTACCGTTTTTTAATGTCAGGTAAGTTTTTTATACTTTTAATTTGAATTTTCCAAGTCGTTTTTAAATCTTTCTAGTCGATGTGCCAACACTGGGCGTCGAACAAGCTGAGATTCTGGTAATTGCTTGGTATTTGCGGCTGATTATCGATTGCTGCCGGCACGGCGGCTCTCAAAATGTTGCCATTATTTTTTTAAATTTTCAAAGTTAAATAACTCGGTTATTATCAATTTATTTTAGTGAAAATATGTTTTAATTTTTTCAACAAGATTTCGGTATGGCAATGGGATCACCTCTCTCTCCTTTATTAAGTAATATTTTAATGGAAGATTTTGAAAATAATACAATAGTTTTTCAAAAAAGCCTGTAATATGGATGCGGTATGTTGATGATATTTTTGCAATATGGCAACATAACGTTTCTTAAATAGACATTTTTTTTGGATTATATAAATTCTCGCGAACTGTATGGTCCGAATTGTATTGCGGAAATTTCGGCAGCATATTCTGCAGATAAAAATAAGTAAAAAAGTTCGTATAAATGTAGGTCCTAAAATGCTTAATTTCAGAGATACAGGGTGAAGAAGTTTCATTTTTATTTCAATTTTTTCTAAATAATTTCTGAAGTAACGTCAATATTTGGATGAAAATTGGTGTCTGAGAGTTTTTTGATATGAGAAATTTGATTTTGATGTCAATATGACTCCTACTAGTAGAGGGCGCCACCTACATGTGTTTTAACTGTTTTGAAGCGTAATCACTTTTTGTCCGTACCTGTATAAAACTACCGAGCAAGAATTATACATCTTTGTGACTTTTTACATAAAAAACATCTCTCCGTAAAAATCGCTACGAGCAACCGTTCTTAAGATATTTAGAATGGAAATAGTCAATACATGTCATTATTGACGAAAAATAAACACGTTGAGTAGATAGTTATTTCACTGAAATAATACATTTGGGAATTTTTTTTTTTAAATTAATCATAAATTTTTCTGCAAAAAATAATGATAAAACAGTTTCTGTTGAACTTTTGGCACAAAAATATTTCAAATTTATGATTTCAGTCTAATAACTATTTAGTCAAAATGTTTAATTAATGTCAATGATACAGGTACGGACAAAAAGTTATTACTCTTCAAACCGGTTAAAAAATATGTAGGTGGCGCCCTCTACTAGTAGGAGCCATATTGACATCAAAATCAAATTTATCATGTCAAAAAACTCCCAGACGCCAATTTTCATTCAAATATTGACTTTACTTCAGAAATTATTTGGCAAAAATCGAAATAAAAATGAAACTTCTACACCTTGTATCTCCGAAACTAAGCATTTTAGGACATACATTTATACGAACTTTTTTACTTATTTTTATCTGCAGAATATGCTGCCGAAGTTTCCGGAATACAGTTCGGACCACCCTGTATACAACTTACAATTCCATACATACGAGGCGTTTTGGAAAAAATAAGAAAGATAGGAAAACAATATAACATATACGAACATCTTTCAAAACACAAAATACACTTAGATCCATTTTATCACATACTAAACCAATAAATACAGAACAACAAACAAAAAATGTAATATACCAAATACTATGCCAATGCGATAAAATTTACATTTTACATCTTTAAATGTTCAAATTAAAGAACATAAACATTATTTAAGAAAGGGAGATTTTCAAAAATCTAAGATTTGTCAGCATTCATGGGACACAGGGCACAGAATAAATTTTAATAACGCCAAAATTATAATGAAAGAAGCGATAGCCTCTAAAAGAAAAATAAATGAGGCTTTTTTAATACAATCTAATAAAAATAAATATATTGCTCATGCATTTGTAGATGTTAGTAATGTATGGCAATCGCTTCTTTGATTTTAAAGCACATAACATAAATAAACATAACATACCTACGTAAAAATTAAAACTAATCAATCATACAGAAAGTTTGGTTTTACCTTATTAAGTAATTGTTATCAGGTAGTAATTGTTAATTTTGAAGTTTAACTTGGGTATAATGTCATTTTAACAGAACGTCAACGGTTTTTGTAGACTTATCTGTTTAAAAAAAAACTAAAGTGTTCTCGAATAGTTCAATTTAAATATTTTAAATAGTTTTTTTCTTTATTCTTTGTATTTTTTTGCTTCCGACGACGGAAAGAGATAAACTTTCCGAAACGTTAAGCATTTTTTTGTTCGTTAAGCAAATTTGTATACCTGTAAATCTAACTTCTGACAAGTAGTTTCCGTTTGTGATTAACGCAGAAGTGTTTACAAAAAAAAATAACTTTTTTATTTTTTAGATTTTCTTGCAGTGGCGAAATACCCATATAGCATATTTTGGGGAAAATATATTTCTTTTGCTCTACAACCCCTTAAAATACTTGCACTTATTTTTGGGATAGCCTGTATATCGATAATCTTGACAATAAAAATTTTATTAAACCTCCTGAAATCATCAAATCAACATCAGACCATAAAAAGCAAATTTATTTAAGTGCTTTTCCGATACGGAATTTCTTCAATATTCTTTTAATGACTTTCAGAGAAACCGGAGGTGTAATGAAAGATCGTTTATCATATTTTTTTGCAGCCATCAAAAAATTACCCTCATTTATAAAATTCAGGTTATTAATTCCAAAAATTTTCTTTCTTAAGTAGTAATTATAAAAGTGATGCAATAAAATGGTATAATTATTGTGGTTAATGTAACAAAAAATAATTATTATATCTATTATTATTTTTTGACGAATAATTTGGTACCACATGCTCGGTATTTCCAGTGAAATTGTCGTTATGACCGCAGCTATTGCACTCTAGATTGAAATTTACAATACTACTGTTTAAGCGAAGATGTCAACAGTTGAGATTATATGTCATTCTATTCAGAATGTCATTTTCTATCAAATAAAGGCTGTATTCCGTTGCAAAACCAGGCGAACCAGATCGGTAAACTACGGTAAAGAGCGGTTCCTGAAAAACATCGGTTTGATACGGAACGGCTTGGTAAAATACTGAAAACGTCAAATGTTGACGTTTTCTAAATTTCAATACCTCTATTATAAAATTTATCTTTTATGCATTTTTAGTGTACCTATTCTCTGCTTTTACGTTTGCTTCTTCTTTTCAATGGAGTTTAATATTGAAAAGTACTTTATTAATAAACTGTTAAACTCGTTAGACAGCTCAAGTGAAGATTTGCAGGTCCAATATTAAAATAGAGCAATAATAAATAAACAGATCTAATCAATATTTATATTTTTATAGCTTACAAAACATTCACGATTACTTGATGTCTTGTTTTTCATGTTTTCTTTTAATGTTCCTGACTTTAAGAAACAATGGCTGCATGATAAGTTTAAACGGTCCGAAAAAGGCATTCTATCTAGTTAATGAAATTTAATTACCTTTACTGCCTACCTCCATTGCTTTTGGATGTACATACAAAATAATATACCAAATTTTAGAAATTAAATGAGAATCTCACTCGAACTTCCAATATTTGCTTGATTTCTGTCACAGAAATGACATTGATTGACAAACAAAACCAGAAAAACCAGCCTTCTCGTGCTGGTTAGTTTGGTGACAGTTATAACCGAATTTTTCAAGAACCGTGTTCCGTAATAAAAAAACTTTCAGGGAACCCATAGAAACGGAACATAAAACCATAACCAAGGTAAGCAACGGAATACACCCAAAGTAAAAAAATACCGAACATTTCATAGAAAATCAAAGAGTCTAAAAAATATTCGTATCACCCAGTATAACAATGAAAAGTTTAAATGCGCTTTACCATGGTCATGCATATTTTAGAAAAAATTGGACTGAAAATTTCAAAATGAAAATTTGAAAGTTTCTTCGATACAATGAGTCACCCTGTATAGTTTTTTTTATCGTAACAATTAATCTGTATATTTTTTACCTCCTTGCGATGCTTCAATTCTTCAGAGTTGAAACTGTTGAGCAACAGAGCCAAGAACAAGTTGAGCACCATAAAGTTGCCCATAACCAATGTGGGTAAAAAAATAGCCAAGCATATACCGGGTCCCTGAAAATAAACGAGTTGAATTAATAATTGAAATTATTGTAGTTGGTATTGATATAATTATTGCTAATGTTTGCCGGTAGGAAATATTCCTATTGAAATGATAAAATGGCAAATGTCAATGTGTTTTAAATATGAGAAACAAAAATAGCTAGTTGTCTTACATTTGTACACAGTTAACATTGATATACGAATATTGTAAGTTATATAAAAGCATGTAAAAGACTATAATTTTTTACTAAAACAATAACTTACGTCTTTAGTTTCGGCTCTCATGCAGTCCCACAGAGGCTCGATCCATTCTCCGCACAGAATTCGAAAAATCATCATGAAAGAATGAAAAAAATCCGTAAAATTCCATCTACAATAAACAAAAAAGAAATATAAATTATAGTAATTGATACATCAGAGGGCTACAAGAAATATAGGTACATATATGTATATTTATCAATAAAAACGCTAAGCGCGTCAGATGAGAATGCCCAAATCGGTAGTTAAGTATCGGACCTTTTTAAGAAAATTAATTTTATTTATCAGAAACTATTTGAGACAGAGTTTACCAAAAATGCCTTTTATATCTACTAGTGGGTAAATGAATTTGTAGATATATTACGACTTTTCTTGGAACTTTAGTTTCGGAGATATAAATTTAATTGGTCCTTTTTAAGAAAATTAATTTTATTTTTCAGAAACTATTTGAGACAGAGTTTACCAAAAATGCTTTTTATATCTACTAGTGGGTAAATGAACTTGTAGATATATTACGACTTTTCTTGGAACTTTAGTTTCGGAGATATAAATTTAATCGGACCTTTTTAAGAAAATTAATTTTATTTTTCAGAAACTATTTGAGACAGAGTTCACCAATAATGCTTTTTATATCTACTAGTGGGTAAATGAATTTGTAGATATATTACGACTTTTCTTGGATTTTCTTGGAACTTTAGTTTCGGAGATATAAATTTAATCGGACCTTTTAAGAAAATTAATTTTATTTTTCAGAAACTATTTGAGACAGAGTTCACCAAAAATGCTTTTATATCTACTAGTGGGTAAATGAATTTGTAGATATATTACGACTTTTCTTGGAACTTTAGTTTCGGAGATATAAATTTAATCGGTCCTTTTAAGAAAATTAATTTTATTTTTCAGAAACTATTTGAGACAGAGTTTACCAAAAATGCTTTTATATCTACTAGTGGGTAAATGAACTTGTAGATATATTACGACTTTTCTTGGAACTTTAGTTTTTGGGGAGATATAAATTTAATCGGACCTTTTTAGAAAAATTAATTTTATTTTTCAGAAACTATTTGAGACAGAGTTCACCAATAATGCTTTTTATATCTACTAGTGGGTAAATGAATTTGTAGATATATTACGACTTTTCTTGGAACTTTAGTTTCGGAGATATAAATTTTATCGGTCCTTTTTAAGAAAATTAATTTTATTTTTCAGAAACTATTTGAGACAGAGTTCATCAATAATGCTTTTTATATCTACTAGTGGGTAAATGAATTTGTAGATATATTACGACTTTTCTTGGAACTTTAGTTTCGGAGATATAAATTTAATCGGACCTTTTTAAGAAAATTAATTTTATTTTTCAGAAACTATTTGAGACAGAGTTCATCAATAATGCTTTTATATCTACTAGTGGGTAAATGAATTTGTAGATATATTACGACCTTTTCTTGGAACTTTAGTTTAGAGATATAAATTTAATCGGTCCTTTTAAGAAAATTAATTTTATTTTTCAGAAACTATTTGAGACAGAGTTTACCAAAAATGCTTTTTATATCTACTAGTGGGTAAATGAACTTGTAGATATATTACGACTTTTCTTGGAACTTTAGTTTTGGGAGATATAAATTTAATCGGACCTTTTTAAGAAAATTAATTTTATTTTTCAGAAACTATTTGAGACAGAGTTCACCAATAATGCTTTTTATATCTACTAGTGGGTAAATGAATTTGTAGATATATTACGACTTTTCTTGGAACTTTAGTTTCGGAGATATAAATTTTATCGGTCCTTTTTAAGAAAATTAATTTTATTTTTCAGAAACTATTTGAGACAGAGTTTACCAAAAATGCTTTTTATATCTACTAGTTGGTAAATGAACTTGTAGATATATTACGACTTTTCTTGGAACTTTAGTTTCGGAGATATAAATTTAATCGGACCTTTTTAAAAAAATTAATTTTATTTTTCAGAAACTATTTGAGACAGAGTTCACCAATAATTTTTATATCTACTAGTGGGTAAATGAATTTGTAGATATATTACGACTTTTCTTGGAACTTTAGTTTCGGAGATATAAATTTAATCGGACCTTTTTAAGAAAATTAATTTTATTTTTCAGAAACTATTTGAGACAGAGTTCACCAATAATGCTTTTTATATCTACTAGTGGGTAAATGAATTTGTAGATATATTACGACTTTTCTTGGAACTTTAGTTTCGGAGATATAAATTTAATCGGACCTTTTTAAGAAAATTAATTTTATTTTTCAGAAACTATTTGAGACACAGTTTACCAAAAATGCTTTTTATATCTACTAGTGGGTAAATGAATTTGTAGATATATTACGACTTTTCTTGGAACTTTAGTTTCGGAGATATTAATTTAATCGGACCTTTTTAAGAAAATTAATTTTATTTTTCAGAAACTATTTGAGACAGAGTCCACCAAAAATGCTTTTTATATCTACTAGTGGGTAAATGAATTTATAGATATATTACGACTTTTCTTGGAACTTTAGTTTCGGAGATATTAATTTAATCGGACCTTTTTAAGAAAATTAATTTTATTTTTCAGAAACTATTTGAGACAGAGTTTACCAAAAATGCTTTTTATATCTACTAGTGGGTAAATGAATTTCTAGATATATTACGACTTTTCTTGGAACTTTAGTTTCTGAGATATTAATTTAATCGGACCTTTTTTAGAAAATTAATTTTATTTTTCAGAAACTATTTGAGACAGAGTTTACCAAAAATGCTTTTATATCTACTAGTGGGTAAATGAATTTCTAGATATATTACGACTTTTCTTGGAACTTTAGTTTCGGAGATATAAATTTAATCGGACCTTTTAAAAAAATTAATTTTATTTTTTCAGAAACTATTTGAGACAGAGTTTACCAAAAATGCTTTTTATATCTACTAGTGGGTAAATGAAATGTAGATATATTACGACTTTTCTTGGAACTTTAGTTTCGGAGATATAAATTTAATCGGACCTTTTTAAAAAAATTAATTTTATTTTTCAGAAACTATTTGAGACAGAGTTACCAAAAATGCCTTTTTATATCTACTAGTGGGTAAATGAAATGTAGATATATTACGACTTTTCTTGGAACTTTAGTTTCGGAGATATAAATTTAATCGGACCTTTTTAAAAAAAAATAATTTTATTTTTTTCAGAAACTATTTGAGACAGAGTTTACCAAAAATGCTTTTTATATCTACTAGTGGGTAAATGAAATGTAGATATATTACGACTTTTCTTGGAACTTTAGTTTCGGAGATATAAATTTAATCGGACCTTTTTAAGAAAATTAATTTTATTTTTCAGAAACTATTTGAGACAGAGTTCACCAATAATGCTTTTTATATCTACTAGTGGGTAAATGAATTTGTAGATATATTACGACTTTTCTTGGAACTTTAGTTTCGGAGATATAAATTTAATCGGACCTTTTTAAGAAAATTAATTTTATTTTTCAGAAACTATTTGAGACAGAGTTCACCAATAATGCTTTTTATATCTACTAGTGGGTAAATGAATTTGTAGATATATTACGACTTTTCTTGGAACTTTAGTTTAGGAGATATAAATTTAATCGGTCCTTTTTAAGAAAATTAATTTTATTTTTCAGAAACTATTTGAGACAGAGTTTACCAAAAATGCTTTTTATATCTACTAGTGGGTAAATGAACTTGTAGATATATTACGACTTTTCTTGGAACTTTAGTTTTGGGAGATATAAATTTAATCGGACCTTTTTAAGAAAATCAATTTTATTTTTCAGAAACTATTTGAGACAGAGTTCACCAATAATGCTTTTTATATCTACTAGTGGGTAAATGAATTTGTAGATATATTACGACTTTTCTTGGAACTTTAGTTTCGGAGATATAAATTTTATCGGTCCTTTTTAAGAAAATTAATTTTATTTTTCAGAAACTATTTGAGATAGAGTTTACCAAAAATGCTTTTTATATCTACTAGTGGGTAAATGAACTTGTAGATATATTACGACTTTTCTTGGAACTTTAGTTTCGGAGATATAAATTTAATCGGACCTTTTTAAAAAAATTAATTTTATTTTTCAGAAACTATTTGAGACAGAGTTCACCAATAATGCTTTTTATATCTACTAGTGGGTAAATGAATTTGTAGATATATTACGACTTTTCTTGGAACTTTAGTTTCGGAGATATAAATTTAATCGGACCTTTTTAAAAAAATTAATTTTATTTTTCAGAAACTATTTGAGACAGAGTTCACCAATAATGCTTTTTATATCTACTAGTGGGTAAATGAATTTGTAGATATATTACGAATTTTTTTGGAACTTTGGTTTCGGAGATATAAATTTAATCGGACCTTTTTAAAAAAATTAATTTTATTTTTCAGAAACTATTTGAGACAGAGTTTACCAAAATGCTTTTTATATCTACTAGTGGGTAAATGAATTTCTAGATATATTACGACATTTCTTGGAACTTTAGTTTCGGAGATATAAATTTTATCGGACCTTTTTAAAAAAATTAATTTTATTTTTCAGAAACTATTACAGACAGAGTTTACCAAAAATGCTTTTTATAACTACTAGTGGGTAAATGAATTTCTAGATATATTACGACTTTTTTTGGAACTTTAGTTTCGGAGATATAAATTTAATCGGACCTTTTTAAGAAAATTAATTTTATTTTTCAGAAACTATTTGAGACAGAGTCCACCAAAAATGCTTTTTATATCTACTAGTGGGTAAATGAATTTATAGATATATTACGACTTTTCTTGGAACTTTAGTTTCGGAGATATTAATTTAATCGGACCTTTTTAAGAAAATTAATTTTATTTTTCAGAAACTATTTGAGACAGAGTCCACCAAAAATGCTTTTTATATCTACTAGTGGGTAAATGAATTTATAGATATATTACGACTTTTACTCCGGAACTTTAGTTTCGGAGATATTAATTTAATCGGACCTTTTTAAGAAAATTAATTTTATTTTTCAGAAACTATTTGAGACAGAGTTTACCAAAAATGCTTTTTATATCTACTAGTGGGTAAATGAATTTCTAGATATATTACGAATTTTTTTGGAACTTTAGTTTCGGAGAT